AAAAATCCCTCCGTATGTAGTAACTGGGGACTTTCTGAGTTCCTCTTTTTCTTTTTCTTTTCTTAAAATTTTCAGCAGAAGAAGTGTTTATACAGACTATGTGAAGATAAAGGAGTTACTCAGAAAGGTTGTGGTTTCTTTGGAAATCTGTGTATAAGGTTTTAAAAATATGGGTATTAGAACTAGAAGTGAGTCACAGACTTAAAAGGGATCATTACAGCCCTCTAACCTGGACTCATCTTTTCAGCAACAGTCCTGCACTTTTTTTTTCCTTTTTACTGTTATGAGAGAGTTCTAAGTATCGCCTTGGATAAGTGTTTACATGTTGAACTTCATGTGCATCACAGAGACATTCAGGAATAAGACAAGTATTTCTCAGCAGATAAAAGGAGCACAGCAACAGCTGTGTCATTATCTTTTACAGACAGGCTTGTTTCTGAGAACAAAAAAAATGTGTGACAGTTTTGAGAAAAGCACAAACTGTGACATGACCTTGTGTGGTCAGACCATGATAATGCAGCAACACTTCAGTGTTTTCTTTGTGTTGCAAATGACAGCATTTTCCAATTTTAACCTGACATTTTATATTTTTGTTTGTCAAAACAATCTGAATGAACTTTTTGACCTGCAGCAAGGAAAGATGCAACTTCTGCTGCAAAACTCCTTCATGTCTGAATTTCAACTGTTCTCACTTTAACAGTTTTTATTGCTCAAAGCAGAAAGATGAAGGCAGACAGCAATGGTTTTTTTTATTTTTTTATTTTTAATCTTTGCCTCTGTTGCTGTGCCTTCATGTACCTGATAAGTTCCTTGTTTTCTCCAATAACTTATATGGAGTCATAATAAAACTGGTTTATAAATACTAAGTTTGTGGATACATTCTCTAAAAAAAACACATAATTGTTTTATATTCCTGCGGCATCATTTAAAAGAAGATTAGATCCAGATGGAAACTTTGATTGTGTTGCTGTTTAACTATTTATTTTGTTGTTGTATTTTTAGAATTCTGACCTCAGTAATCTATTTTCATTTTTTAACCAAATAAAAAGATGGAAAAGATTACTTGTCAAAACAGCATGGTTTCACTTCAACAGGATTTAAACTGAACGTGTCCTGAGTTAAGACTAAAATAAATGCCAGAAAAAGCAAACTGACACACACACACACACACACACACA